AACCTGCACTGTGCGGTTCCGGTTCCGGTTCCCCCGAAAAATGCAGGGTACCCGGAACCGCTCACCCCTATAAAAAGGGGTGAGCTGAAATACTCAGTGAGTAGGGGATTGGGGAGAGTTTGCAAAACATTCTTCAAACAATAGTCATGGCATGCAATAGTTCTTATGAAATCCTGAAAACAACATGATTCTATGAACGTATTATGGAAGTAACTAAATCATTCATGTATGCATATATAACTCATTTCTAAGTACTGTAATCTCACCATTTAAGTTGAAAACAAATTTTGAATTATAGCTCATCATTGAATGCATAAAATTCTTTTTCTGAAAACTTAAAACATAACTGTAAATGCTTATGCTTCTGGGAACAATGTTTCCTATAAGTCATGTTGCAACCATCTTTGTCATCACTCAAGAATGCATATGATTCTGAAAATAATAACTCAACTAGTCATGCTGCAAACATCCAAACCATCATTCAATGAACACTCATGATTCACAAAACAAAATCTGGTAACTAAATTTATAACTATTGTGATGATATAAAATTGAAAACTGATTTTTCTGAAACTATGCATTGATAACTGATTTTGGAATACTGTAAACTTTATGCTGATAACTAAAATTTAAACTGAATACTGTAGCTTTTACTGATACTAAAAACTATAAGCTGATATTTTATTCCGAAACTGTGGCTAATACTGAAAGCTCTATTAATATTTTGAAAACTCATATTGAGACTATCGCTCATAGCTGATACTAAAAACTGAATGTGATTTTGAACATTCTAAAACTGATTCTGATATTAATAACAGAAAACTCTCACCACAACTAGCACCCTCGGGGAAATCTGTCTTACCTGGTGGGCGTCCCGCATGCAGGTAGAGCAAGGGATGTACCTATCATACCCGGTAAGATCTATCATCGCGTGGGCAGAGCCACTGAAACTGTCATACCTGGCGGACCACTCAACGCCCAGTCAGAGCCAATAAAATCTGTCATACGCATGCACAAAGCCAAAATCTGAAACTGTCATACCCGGCGGAATCTGACATTGCTCAAGCAGAGCCAAAAATCTGTATCTCTGGGAACGGATACTTTGTAGGGTGGTTTGTAAGCCATTACTATGCTTATTCTTAACCCAATACATTATGTTTCTTCAAAACACAGGCCTTTATAAAATTATGAAAACATTATGAAATAATTTATGGTTGTGTATTCTAGGCTAAAATCTAAGTAAAGACAAGTAATGAAATAAACATGAGGGAGCAAAAGAAACTTTATACAATTATTAAATAAATCTACGGGTGTGCTTGGTTTATTATTTTGGATAAGATTTTGGGAATAATATTGGGTAGTTGAATAGGAGAGTATTACGAGGTAAAATTTAGCCCCTAGGTTTACTAATTTAATTAAACACCCCAATATATAAAATGACAAAAATATCCCCATTACCTGCAATGCCAGATTCCGGCCACCACCGCCAGAATTTGGCCGAAAAATCGTGTTACGACACAGACTGATCAGATCTATGTCGTAACGCGTCGTTATGGCCTTTTTCGGCCAGATCCACCCTGCTGTGGCCGCGACGGCCGGAAAAGGCCAAAGATGGCCGTCGTTTTTGGTCAACGACGGCCATTCTTTGTGACGGCCAGATCGATGAATTATCGGCCAATTCCAATTGGTAATTCCGGCCAATTCTGGTCGGTAATTCACCGTTGTGGCAGATTCTGGCTACCATCGACGGTGGTTATTGGAATCTGGTAAGTATGGGTCATGGGGGTGTTTTTGTTAATTTTTAAACTTTTTTTTCAGGGGGTATTTAATGAAATTAATAGCCTTATGGGTTCTAAAAGTAATTAAAAATATAGGGTAATATTTCTGGAATAATGTGTCAAACATTATTTGAAGAATAGGATTGGGAATATGGGCAGAAATAATAAGCCAAACATGCCCTACAATTCACGTGCCAGGCACTTCCACAAAACTCGATGCATCATAGTTTCAAATACACCCTCAATACTCTTAAGCTTAACACTTAAACCCTAACAAAATTGTAACATGTAATTATTAATTAAGGTTTGCACTCCATGTGAGTCTCATAGACATGAAAAACACTAGCTTGCATTTAATGCTTCAGACTCAATGCAACACACAAAAAGAATATCAATTCTCTATAGCCGTAATATTTGACTACTTGAACTCGTAGAAAATTATCAGATTATTCTGTTTTCTATTAATTGAACCCCATATGTTCTTAACTTTCAAAGCATCCCAACTTTACAAATACTTTCAGATCATGATTCGCAGTCCACTCTCACACGTTCATCCTGCTAAGTAATTATTGTAAGGCAATTTCTTGAAAGCAAATGAAATTTAGAACTTTGTCTCATATGAAGAAAATCTAATAAAAACATCATCTCACTATTTTACATTAACATTCAATCAACTTTTACAAAAAGGGAATAATATGTTAATGGAAATATTCAATGCATTCTATTTCAACTATTTGACCAAATGTCAAACAAAACAATTAATAAATTGTTTATAACTGTTGATGCTTAATTTTGGACGTCAATGACTCGCATGTGTAAAGTGCTAAGAGGGTCTTAGAAATTACACATGATGGATTCATGAGATTTGAATATGGAGCTAAGATTATATATGTTATAGAAAACATAAATAATATGCTAACAAGAGAGGTTTTTATAGCGGTTCGGATGCTTAAACAAGCGACTCCTACATCCACGGTTATTTTATTAATCTCTGACTATTTCTATAATATTGCCCATAAGGCATACAAAGACGAAGAAATACAGTGTTTACAGAGAGAAAGAATTGAGCTCAAATCTATGTCTAGCTCTTATATGCCCCACCTCCCTTTTTGGGAAGAAAAGTGTCAATTTATACACCTCTGAACTCAATGTAATGAGTGTTTTGCAAATTGTCTTGACACATAGAAGGCTCTCGTCCATTGATCTCTTGAAATGAGATAGAGGTGGGATGAATATCTTTAAGGAGATATGGGCTTGACAGCTAATACAAAAAGACATTTATTGAGCTGACATAAGCGTGACTTTTTAGGCATAACAATAACCTTTTATCATTAACACCCAATTGAAAGCATTTAACTAATAAGACATTTTGATAAAACCTTTGAATCAACTTGATCAATATCAGGACACTTCCAACAGCAACATGCAGGTTCCATAAATACTTGAAATAAGGTTTTAAGAGTTCATCACATAAGAACTTATATCACAGTAAAGGCATCCAAAAATCTTTTCAAACAATAACAAACATGTACAACTCATCTTTACCGAATGAACAACATTTTCAATTATTCAACCCATTAAAATGATCATCCCAATCAAAACATGCAAGCTGGAATTTTGAAGAAAGTTTTAGTTTTTGCCATTCACAAGTTTAAGCTCAACTCAAATTGGTGTGATCTCCTCAAAGTTACCTTCTTTTCCCCCTATTGAACCAAAATCAAGGAAATTAGCTTAGGAATCTCAAATTTGGAGAAATGTAACGAAAATTAGAGAGAAGACTACATGCATGTTACCCACGGATGAAAATTTAATTGGAACTAATGTTCTTCAACTCTATCAACCGGCACATACCCACTTTCTCCATCTCACTTCTTTTCCTTCTCGCCTTTCTTCTTCTTTCTTTCTCTCTCTTCGACCAAAACCCTTTTTTTTTTTCTCTTCTTCTTCTCTCGCTTCTTTTCTTTCTTCTTTCTTTTCTCACAGTCTCCTTCTTCCTTTATTCGGGCGAAAATCATCCCTTTTTTTTTTTATATATATATATTTTTAATCTTTCTAGAATTATGCTTCTGCCCCTAGATTATAGATAATCCCGCTAAACCCTTACCACATCAGCTTTTCCTTCAAAAACCCAGATTTTGCACCTTGTTACATGCAAACCCAGCAACTTCCTTTTCTTGCAATTTCACTAGCAATAAAACTTTTAAAAACTAACAGAAATCCCCTTCTATAAAAAAAAATCACTAAGAATATTTATATTAGGATTAAAAAAAAAGGGGGTTTCACATGGGTACTCGAGCTCGAGCTTCGAGTTTATTGTGAGAAGGGGGCTATTTGTCATTTTAAAACTTGAAAATAAAAAAAAAAAAGTTATAAAACTTGCAATTTGGCCCTCTGAGTGCGACGAGGCTCGCGAGTCAAGTTTCGCCCTGATCGAACTCAACTCGACCGCTTAAACGAGCCACTCAAGCTAGAGCGAGTTTGAGCTTTTCATAAGCCGAGCTCGAGTAGCTACCGAACTGCTCGACTCGCTTCTCATCCCTAATTGATAAAAGTAATTGTTAATGTTTTGAGTTGAATAGAATAAGATTAAATTGTGAAGAATATTAAAACAAATGCATTTTTGAGTTTTTAGGATAGGATAGTGGGAAAAAAGTGTGCCAAACAACAAATTTTTATTCAAAATATCTTTTCTACCCGTTATACTAAATTAATTAGTCGAACCTTTGTTTGGGGGTGTCATGTTAGTTTCCAAAATTGAAGGGAGAAAATGTTTTTAACCAAATCTTTGGGTGAAAATTAATTAACTCTTATTATTATTATTATTATTATCTGAAAATGCATTAAAAATCTCTAGTCATTATTCACGAAGCGTGTGGTTCGCAGTCAACGCCAAGTATGTGGTCAGGTGTCTCTAACGCACCAGATCATCTTTCTCATTCTAGACAACACGTGTCTATTAGGCCCGCCACAGGACACAAACTTTAGGTGGACATTCATACACCTGATCCCATCTCACGTATTCCCACTACCTAAAATTGGCTGACAATTACACGCTACTCAGACGAAACAGATAACGAAGGTGCATAATACTAAATTGACGGTTACGATTCACCGTCATTTCTTCAATCCAAGGGCCATGATTCAGCTCTGTTTCGCTCCTTGATACTGCTCCTCAACATATAAATACCAATAAATAAAATTCAATATTTTGTTCCCCAATTTCTAGGGTTTTCAAAAAAAAAATGTCATCGACTGAATTTCTCCGTCCATCAATCCACAACGGATTTCACTACACGAATTCAAATTCAAATCTTCTATATTTACATGGCACAATCTTCTGTCCTAATAGATTTCGGGTTTTTCCCCGAGAAACGAACCAGTTTATCTCCAATTCAATCTCCTTCCCTTCGGTTAACCTTTCAAAAGGTTGCCAAACGTTTAATTTGTGGCCTGGTTTTGGTTTGTTTCAAAATAATAAAAATTTAAGGGAATTTAGAGTTCTAGCGAGTTCTCAAGATGGAGAATCGAGTGAAACGAGCGAGAGTGAGAGTCAGAGTCCAACTCAATCTCCGCAAAGCACGGGCTCTTCTACGAACCAAAATAGAGAGAAGCGGAACAAGAGTGACGGGTTTTGGTGGTCAAAGGGGAAGAAGTTTCGGTGGCAACCGATAATTCAGGCGCAAGAAATCGGTGTTTTGCTTTTGCAATTAGGAATAGTTATGTTTGTTATGCGGTTGCTCCGACCTGGAATACCGTTGCCCGGGTCGGAGCCAAGGACGCCGACGACTTTTATTAGCGTTCCGTACAGTGATTTTTTAAGTAAGATTAACGGTAACCAGGTGCAGAAAGTGGAAGTGGACGGTGTGCATATAATGTTTAAGGTGAAAAATGAGGGGGGCATTCAAGAGAGCGAGGTGATGACGAGTCAGAAATTTCAAGACTCCGAGTCATTGTTGAAAAATATGGCACCTAGTAAGAGGATAGTATACACCACTACGAGGCCGACTGATATCAAGACTCCGTACGAGAAGATGGTTGATAATCAGGTGGAGTTTGGCTCACCAGATAAGAGGTCCGGTGGGTTCTTGAACTCGGCTTTGGTGAGTTCTTGGAGTCTTTTTGTGCTGCCAATGGTCAGATGGTATAAAATGAATTAATTCATTGTTAAATGACATTCATTAATATGCTATAGCTTGTGTTATTAAAATTATGCAGTCTGTTTTGTTCGAAATTTTACTTCATTCAAAAAGCTTTCTGAGTTCTATGTCTTTGATATTGCTTTATTTCTGGCAGATAGCTTTGTTTTATGTTGCAGTGCTTGCAGGGCTTCTCCACCGCTTTCCTGTGAGCTTTTCTCAGGTGCGAATCTGTGTGCTACGTTTTTTTATTTGTGTACCTTGAAACTCATGCTTTCTGGTAAGGTGTCTAAGTGGAATTAAGCATGTGTTGAGCAGACCGCTGGTCAGATTGGTAGCCGCAAGTCTCGGGGTCCTGGTGGTGCTAAAGTTTCCGAGCAAGGGGAAATGATCACCTTTGCTGATGTTGCTGGTGTTGATGAGGCGAAGGAAGAGCTGGAAGAAATCGTGGTATGTAAGCCATTCCTCAGATATGCCTCTTACCGTTAAGAGGCCATCAAAATATTGTAGCAAGTGTTTCTCCCTTATTCAGGATATGGTCTTTATTCGCTGATGTTTACTGCCCAGGAATTTTTAAGAAATCCGGATAGATATATACGTCTTGGTGCTCGTCCTCCTCGAGGTGTTCTTCTGGTGAGTTGAAATCAGAGACTAGTGAGTAGTGCTACCTCATGTAGAAAGTGAGATTTTATTTCTTGCAAATGCTTATGCCTGTCTTTATTGGAACTTCCACGATAACCAAGTAGTATTGTTATTGGCAACATTTTGCTTGATGATACCAACAATCATTAGTCTCCACCTCAGGAAGCTATTCTATACGTAGTTGTACCTCTTACTTGAAAACCATTCTAGTTGCCTTCTACGGTTGATGATTGATGTGCAATAGACTGGATGTTTCTGGTCTATGCTAAGGCAGTTATTTTTTCATAGGGGTCTCGAATGCTAAATGTATAAACATTCCCATGCTATTTAGGTGGATACTCTGTTTCTCTGGAAGATAATTTGATAGGCTTTCAAAACTTATTTTATGATATTAGGTTTCCCTTGTGATTAGTAATTACTAGTTTTGTTTATCTTACAGGTGGGTCTTCCTGGGACAGGCAAGACTCTTTTAGCAAAAGCTGTGGCTGGGGAAGCTGAAGTTCCTTTCATAAGTTGTTCTGCAAGTGAGTTTGTGGAGTTGTATGTTGGCATGGGAGCCTCCCGTGTAAGAGATCTCTTTGCACGAGCGAAGAAGGAGGCCCCATCAATCATTTTTATAGATGAGGTCAGTCAATGAGGATTCTTAATTTCTAAGGTTGCTTTGGCTATATATGGACATAGGTGGGTTGGTTGTCATATTTGTGTCTTTTGCAGATAGATGCTGTGGCAAAAAGTCGTGATGGTCGATTTCGCATTGTTAGCAACGATGAGCGAGAACAAACTTTGAATCAGTTGCTGACTGTATGCTTTCCTAGATAATTCTTTCTAGTATTAGATTGTACTATCTATATCTCTCATTCAAGCTGATGTATGTCAAACGCATTGCAGGAGATGGATGGATTTGATAGCAATTCTGCTGTAATTGTTCTTGGAGCAACAAACCGCTCTGATGTCTTGGACCCTGCACTTCGCCGACCTGGGAGATTTGATCGTGTGGTTACGGTTTGTATTCTGATTCCAGTAGATTTTGAAATCATATATTTGTAAATTTCTTGCAGGTAATGATTCTCTCAGAAATATCATGTTACATGGTTTTTAGGTGGAGACACCTGATAGGATCGGAAGAGAATCCATTCTAAATGTACATGTTTTCAAGAAGGAACTCCCGCTTGCAAAGGATGTTCAACTTGGTGATATTGCCTCTATGACTACTGGTTTTACTGGGTATATACATTGTTTCATCTTTAGTCCTGTTTAAGGGCTATTCCTTCCTTTTTCCTTTTTCCTTTTTCTTTACCTTTTATTAAAAATATTATTTATGTGCACATTAGATTGAATTTGCAGACTTATAAATTATGCAGGGCAGACCTTGCAAATTTGGTAAATGAAGCTGCTCTGCTTGCTGGAAGACAAAATAAAGTTGTCGTGGAGAAAGTTGATTTTATTCAAGCAGTAGAGCGAGCAATAGCTGTATCTCTCTCTCTCTCTCTCTCTCATGCATCCATGTGTCTGTGACTTGTTTCATTTTAGGTTTTTTTTTTCGCTTTTATTTAAAATGCAATTGATTGTTTAGGCTGGACTAAGTTACAAACCATAATGTTACTGACAATTGTCTGTATATTTTCCCCCTGAAGTCCTAGTTAGGTTTTGATGTTATCTCTTTTCCTTGCTTTTGAGTTTTAGTAATATATTTCTGATTCTTTTCATTTGTTGATGATGTATGGTCCTTAGTTCTCATGTTTTTGATGAACTAGCTTTGCAAAAAATAAGGAGCAAACATTCAACTATTGGTTAAAAAGACAGCAAACTGAAACAAACTACTCTTTTTTATAGGGCATAGAGAAGAAAACTGCCAAGTTAAAGGGGAGTGAGAAGGCTGTAGTTGCAAGGCATGAAGCTGGTCATGCAGTAGTAGGTACTGCAGTAGCAAGTCTTCTTCCTGGGCAGCCACGTGTCGAGGTAAATGATTGCAAGTTCTCTCAAACATTAAATTTAATGGTGGATAGGAATTTAAAAATGTTGTGCTAAAAATGTTAGAGCTACAGATTTTCCAGCTTTCGGCTATTGTCGCGTAAGGGTACTTCAAGTGTCCATTAGTGAATGTCTGCAGGAAATTGATGATCTGACAGTACTCATTTGCTTTATTTTATCAGAAGTTGAGCATATTGCCAAGGTCAGGAGGTGCATTGGGCTTCACCTATATTCCTCCCATACACGAAGATAGATATTTGCTCTTCATTGATGAGTTATGCGGTCGCTTGGTTACTCTACTTGGTGGACGTGCAGCAGAAGAAGTTGTTTATTCTGGTCGTGTTTCGACTGGTGCACTTGATGATATACGGCGGGCAACTGACTTGGCTTATAAAGCAGTAGCCGAATATGGTCTTAATCAGACAATAGGTCCTGTGTCTGTATCAACACTTTCTGGTGGTGGGATTGACGAGTCTGGGGGATCTGTTCCATGGGGAAGGGATCAGGTTCTGTTTTTCTTTTCTTTTTGTTTTTCTTTTAAGTTTGTTTCTTTCTTTGTAAATATGTCGCTATGAAGACTGATTCAAAACTTAATATGACAGGGGCAACTTGTTGATCTTGTTCAAAGAGAGGTGAAAGCATTGTTGCAATCTGCTCTTGAAGTAGCACTTTGTGTTGTTCGTGCTAACCCTGATGTTTTGGAGGGTCTTGGTGCCCATCTCGAAGGTAAATGTGTTACTTCCATCTGATTTGGCATCTAAGAAATTTTGATTTTACTGGTTATTTTCTGTATATTTTATCTCCATCAATAATAAGTTCATTTTTTTCTCGCTTTTGATGTGCTAGCTGAGCTATTGGTTTATTTTCTAGAACTATTCTAAGTGGAAACTATCCTTTTATTATTCTTGTTATCTTATTCCACTTCCATTGACTTATGGGCTTCCATAATTTAGTCTGGACCCGTGTTTACACTACTTGCATCAACAAGTGAGATAGATGCTCCTTATCGAGAGTTAATGTCTGTACAGGAGTTCTTATTATTTTTTCTTTTTCTATTTTTTTAATTCAGAAAAAGAGAAAGTAGAAGGTGAAGAGTTACAAGAATGGTTGAGAATGGTGGTTGCACCTAAAGAACTATCGACCTTTGTTCTAGGCAAGCAAGAGTCACTTCCCCCTCTGCAGGGATCTCTACTCCCACTTCAAGGAAGCTCTGGGTAACAACTACGGCTTACTGCACTATCCAAAGTTAAAGCAAAACGGAGTTAGCTTACGGCTGTTCATGTCATATCTTGGATACAAATACAAGTTCACGATTGGCGTTAGCTCACCAGTACAACTTATGTGAATTTCCAGCAAGGTAAATTTTGGTTTCATTAACTCTACGAGCCTCCACCAAGTTCTAGCTCGTGATTTTATGGCACAAAACCTGAGAAAGAAGTTGGGAAATCTTAAGATTTGTTTTTGATTGATAGTTTTCCCAAGTGCCTCATCATTTTAACATTATGTGAATGCCTAGGCTGGTCTCATAAATCTTTTGTAAATTGGCATTGGTTTCAGTTGATATATTTTCCAAGTATTGACATTTGTAACAGTTATTCAGTTGTATACGTTATGAATACGTGAAAATATATGATATATATTCCGCATGCGGGTTCAGATAGGCAATGTACATTGAATCAGAGACTAGTATTTTGCATTCTGTACTGTAAATTCTTAATCTATATTTCATCAGGTTTATAAGTTATTGTTCCAATGGATGTTGTTGCTGTCCTCAGATCGGTGGCTACTTTATTGCAGCCGACCTGTTTTTGTTTCATTTTCGAAGCAGAATTCATTGCTTCAAACCAAAAGCATGGTGCAGCCAGTGAATCTGACTTACAAGCCAGTTTTGAGATGTTTGATGGACAAGATAAGGCAGGGCATAGTGGGTGTTGGTTTAGAAGTGAAAATCATTATGGGAAAATAGATGAAAAGTTCTTTTTTTTTTTGGTTCAACATTTAGTTGGTGTATAATTCTTTATCCAGAGGAATGAATGGTTGAAATGATTTCAAGTTGATATTTTGGAAGTAGCGTAAATATCAGTGTTGCTTTCTGAGAATGACTGGACCTTGTGTCCTGTCTCATATGAGAACCAAACTCACTTGGCTTGATGCATGCTCTATATGGACGATATCATATCATCTCCCATGGATGAACTGGCCCTTCTTCATGTACAATGTTTGTCATATCTAAATGGTGGCCCAAGAGAACTTATGTAGATCAGGTTGTAACATAATTACTCCACAGGAAAGTATGAATAGAACCACCTCTGATTGAGTGATTAGATAAGAACTCGTATATTATTTAAGAGGTTTTGAATTTGAATTATCTTAATTGTTAATAGAGGTGACAATTAGAGGATATATCTGATCGTTAATTATAAAACTTTAAAGATTAATTAAGGTGCGTAACTTTAAAGATTAATTAAGGTGCGTATAAAGTAGTTCGGATAAAAAAAAAAAATTATTTATAATTGGTTATTATTTGTCGGATGGTCCTTTGTCGTGCTCCTTATTTGGTAATGAGTAATATTACATGTATAAAGAAATTTTATAAAAATTAATATAAAAAATGATGTGAATAAAAATAAATAAATGGGTGAATATAAAAAGTCACGTCACTTTGTACATAAATCGTTTTTAGATCCGGCAATTGGCATTCGGCAGTGAGAAATGACCACGTCATGAGCAACCCCGTGAGGGTCACGTGCTTCTTTACTCCTACAAATAAATATCTAATAAGGTGGTTCCACCTCCGCATTCGCTTTTTGATACTTTTTCAAGAATCTGCTATAAAACGAAGGCAGAGAGCGTGAAGTGGGAGTGTGTGTAGAGTCTCGACTTCTCTCAGTGGTTGGTTCTGAGTTAAAGATATTGAAGAGATAAGACCAGGTTTTTCTTCTCATCTCCAAAATATCTCGCATTCTTTAAGCTTCGGTTTCATCGCAATTCTTCTCTGTTTTGATCGTAACTGTAAGCCTGTTTGGTTTGCTTCTTCATGCATGTCTTATTATTGAAGTGATTTTAGAAATACGTTCATTGCTTCCTTTATTGTTGCGAATTTTTAGGATCGTATTTTAAAATCTCATGCTTCGATCGGTTTCATCAGAATTCTTCGCACTTGTTTGTTTGTTTACGATTAAGGCGTTATCAACGCTTATTCATAAAGTTTATGGCCTGTTTGGTTTAGTTTGCTTCTTCATTTATATCTGATGATGGAAATTATTGTAAAAATGTGCTAAGATCGTACTTGGAAGTTTCATTTTTGTTTGACTGCCTCAAAAGCCTCGATAAATGGTTTTTGTGTTTTTGTTTGGCAGTTATTTGACTCAACTGAGACGGTAAGCTTGATTGAATAAGGTTCTTGTTTTCATCGAGTTTGAATGGATATAATTATTAGATTGCGACACGTGTTCGTACTCTTCCATATGTGGTCTTCATGCAACACTCCATATTTAAGATTAAAAATTTGATTAAATTTCATTTCCCCCAAAAGCTTTAGGTTAAAGGAGACCTTGATGATTTTAAACGGAGGTTTATGACAAGTATTTAAGGTTCAGTGGGAATTTCTAACAAACTTTAAATTTATCAGGTATTTACGTAGTTGGATTTAGGACATAGATTAAGATCATGAAAATACAAAATTTTGATTAATGTATTGTTTATGTGTTTTTTTTTATTACTTCTTGACAATAAAGTGAATTGTTATAATCAGAGTTCTATTGCTCTTTGACTGAATTCTGTACTTTATACTTCGCTATTTTTAGATTTTTCTAGAGATGGCTTCAGTGCATACGACAATGACGACAATTGTGTGTAAGAATGGCAACCATGGTGCTCCTGCCAAGTTTCCAAGTACTTCCTTCTTACCTGGGTTTGATATGGTTGGGCGTGTTTCAAGTGCATGTAAGAAGGAAATGTGTCCTTCCATGTCCTCGGGCACTAGAGCCACATTAACGTTTGATCCCCCAACAACCGATTCAGAGAGAAGCAAACAAAGAAAGCACACTGTTGATCCTGCTTCTCCTGATTTTCTGCCACTTCCGTCCTTTGAACAATGTTTTCCCAAGAGCTCCAAGGAATATAGGTATGTCTCTTTCGCTAAATTTATTGCTTTATGTGTTTTTAATACATTTCATTCTGCAATATTTATTTTATTGCCTGTAATTAGATTGGGTGTTGCACAATTTAATTAATCTTCGTCTAAAGATTTGACACATGATTTCCTTGCAGGGAAGTTGTTCACGAACAATCTGGTCATGTACTTAAAGTTCCCTTTCGACGGGTTCACTTGAGTGGGGATGAACCAGATTTTGACACCTATGACACCAGTGGTCCTCAAAACATCAGCCCACGTGTTGGTATGGACCTTAAGCTTCTTATAAATAAATATTCTCTTTTGTGAGGCTTCCAACAATTTAAACTAGTTTCTAGTACTTGTTATTTTATTAATTCTATCGTCTATCTCTATGGTCTCTGGTGCTTAACATTTAACTAAATTTTATGTATAATGTTTTATAGGACTTCCTAAACTGCGAAAAGACTGGATTGACAGGCGAGAGAAGTTAGGAGGACCAAGATACACTCAAATGTACTATGCCAAGCAGGGAATTATAACTGAGGAAATGTTGTATTGTGCTACTCGTGAAAAGCTTGACCCAGAATTTGTGAGGTCAGAGGTTGCTCGTGGTCGAGCAATCATCCCTTCGAACAAGAAACATTTGGAACTGGAACCAATGATAGTTGGAAGAAACTTTTTGGTTAAAGTTAATGCAAATATCGGAAACTCAGCTGTTGCAAGCTCTATTGAGGAAGAAGTTTATAAGGTTCAGTGGGCAACCATGTGGGGTGCCGACACTGTCATGGATTTGTCTACAGGCCGCCACATTCATGAGACCCGTGAGTGGATTCTTCGTAACTCTGCTGTGCCAGTAGGAACTGTGCCCATCTATCAAGCACTTGAGAAAGTTAATGGTATTGCTGAAAATCTCAGCTGGGATGTCTTCAGAGACACCCTGATTGAACAAGCTGAGCAAGGGGTAGATTACTTCACAATCCATGCTGGAGTTCTGTTGAGATACATACCTTTAACGGCGAAGCGTATGACTGGAATAGTTTCTCGTGGAGGATCCATTCATGCAAAGTGGTGCTTAGCTTATCACAAGGAGAACTTTGCTTATGAGCATTGGGATGAAATACTTGACATTTGTAATCAATATGATGTGGCTCTATCGATAGGTGATGGACTGAGACCTGGGTCCATATATGACGCCAATGACACTGCACAGTTTGCTGAGCTTTTAACACAAGGGGAACTGACCCGTCGAGCATGGGAAAAAGATGTACAGGTAATATGACAATTGAGACAACATAAAAGACTCATGCATCAATTTTATAACAATTTGGAAATATATACACTTGAAAAATTTTCTGACCTTAAAACTTTATGCTTAGTGGGTGACAAGGATTTTTTTCACTAAAAACTGTCATTTTCTGTTTAACCTGATTCAGTATGTTGATTAATATTATCCCTTTTTATAAGATATGATTGTTACCGATATATCATGCTAACCTGCAATCCGATACTGTGCACTTTCAGGTGATGAATGAGGGACCTGGACATATTCCAATGCACAAGATCCCTGAAAACATGCAAAAACAGCTGGAGTGGTGCAATGAAGCACCTTTCTACACTCTTGGTCCGCTAACAACAGATATAGCTCCTGGTTATGATCACATCACCTCTGCCATTGGTGCTGCCAACATCGGGGCTCTTGGCACTGCTCTTCTCTGTTATGTAACACCAAAAGAACACCTTGGATTGCCAAATAGGGATGATGTGAAGGCCGGGGTTATAGCATATAAGATAGCTGCTCATGCAGCTGATTTAGCCAAATGTCACCCACATGCTCAGGCCTGGGATGATGCTTTAAGCAAGGCAAGATTTGAATTCCGATGGATGGATCAGTTTGCTTTGTCATTGGATCCCATGACTGCGATGTCCTTCCATGATGAAACCCTGCCATCAGAAGGCGCAAAAGTGGCGCATTTTTGCTCCATGTGTGGGCCTAAGTTTTGCTCGATGAAGATAACAGAGGATGTGCGGAAGTATGCAGAGGAGCACGGTTATGGGAATGCTGAGGAAGCTCTGCAGCAAGGTATGGATGCAATGAGCGCTGAGTTCCTGGCTGCCAAGAAAACTGTTAGTGGGGAACAACATGGTGAAATTGGTGGCGAAATCTATTTGCCAGCAAGTTATATGAAGAAGTCATCTGAGAGGTGAAGGTCAGTTTCTGAAGTAAAACTTCTTATTAGTATGGTAGAGTTTAAGTTGTTTGAAATGTTCTTACATGTGAAGAGCTAAAAATTTCAGTCCATTAATTCAACGTGCAATTACTTCACCAAACATGAATCATACGCTATCAAACCTTCATGATTTGGGGAAATTTTGACATACTTTGCCCTCCCAAATCATGATTATATGATTCCCCTCTTTTAGGTAGTTGCTAACAAGTAATGCTGAATATGACTGCTTTCTACCCAAGTAATCGGAGTGTCTTTTGAATGCGCTATAGAAATAAGCTTGTACCAAGATTATTTTCTCAATGGTGTCTTCATTCATATGGGATTGACTTATCGATGCTTTCTTACAGGACCATATAGCCAGAGTCGGTCTGAGATTTACCGGAGCTAGAAGCTTTATTGGCTTGTTAATAACAGTCTTTACTATCAGACTGTAGGTGAGTGCTTAGTTTAGTTTGTCAAGTAACTTTTAAGACACCTATCTTTGTTCTGCTTGTTTTCGTCAGCCTCTGTAATAAAATGCTTCTGCTACATATTCTCTCTTCCGCCTTTGAATCTTTTGTTTTTTTGGCCTTTATATTGACATAAGAAACGCACCAGGGGTGCCTGCATCTGCTTTAGAACTGGCTGATTCGCCAGGATGCAGGCAGATCAGGCTGAGAAAGTCCCTTCGAACCTGAACAGGATAATGCCTGCGTAGGGAGTGTGCTCTTTCTTTTGCATTTTTTGTGTGTTTGAACAGGGAGGGCGGTGCCATTTGTGTTTTGGGCAAGCTGATCCATGTGGGCAGATTCAGCTTTCACGTCCAGGCTTATAACACTCCAATGGCCAGGATGCAACTAAACCACCAAACATATAATTATGATGAATAATGCTATGTGCATTAACCAAAAACCATACAATCCAAGTACTAACTGATGTGACAGACTTTTATCGTCATGTCAATTCCCCCAAAAACTAAAAAAAAAAAATTCAAAATTTTAATTGTAAGTACTTGGGTTAGTATAATTTGATTAGTGCACATTATTCAATTATGATATGAAGTTTTGAAAAGTCAATAAAAAAAGTTACTTGATCAACGAAAGATTGAATTTTCAATCTACCTCTCATCTATAATACAAGAAGTCCTATAATAAATCATGAAATATCTAAATACCTAAAGAATCGTAAAAAGCTAAATGCATCTTTATTTTCATGAAAAAACTAAAAAGTACAAAACTATTTTTGACATTTCATGTTTTCGGAAGAACCTTTTTATAAGAATTAGCAGTTACTCTAGGAAGATGGAGTGAACTACCTATGGTAAATTACACTATGACCTTTTCCTTTATCCTTTCGGATTAATTTTTTTTTCTAATTTGATATCAAAAATAATAGATTTGACGTTATTCAGTTGTTCATTTTTATACTTCTGAACTTGTTCCTGATAACCCACAATCATCTATTAATATACTCTTGGTCCATTCTAAAATTAAGTGAGAGTTGAACCGTCTATTTCTACGATCTATTAATTCACATGTAATTTTATCAAACCTCAGGACTCAAAGGTTGCACATCTTGGGGCCATTTAGGTAGTTAAACTGTTAAAGATGTAAAATTGCAGCCTAAAGTGGTTGAGATTAGCTAGATTTCGACATCATCCGGTACTGCTTCTACCATCTAGCCTCCTTGCTTTGATTTATTCGAAGAAGCGCACATAAGTCTAATCAATAATACTACACTCATAAATCATTCTCACTCACTTTCTCTCGTAATCCCAATGTGTCAGTCCGTAATTAGATAGCTCGAAATAGGTCTCACCTCCCCAACAATGAATCTTGCTTGACCAAATATAAACTGACCAATTGTCAGTTGCTACATCAACGTCTGTAAGAGAAAGTTTGTGAAAAACGTTCGTTAACTTATCTTTATTCTAAGTCCAATACTTTCGTTCAGGTTTTAGTAGACCTATTCATAACAAAACAATTGAAGTGTAATAACCAGCCTTCTCCCCTCTTTTGAGGAATAGGAAGATGATTTAACTCCATAAAAGCAGCCGGTCATGACACACAACCACCATGCCACCAAAGCAAACCGCATGCATACACATACACATACAGATAAACCCAGTAGGTGAGAGCAAGTAAAATTAATTTAAAATTGCCCCAATTTCCTGCATCCAGTGAGGAATTTAGCATTTGAATACAATCCCAATAATTCCTTAAAATAAAAGGTAGCAGATCAAGAGGAAGAATAGAATGGTAACTGAGAGAAAGAGCATAGATATATAGATAGATGTAGCAACGGGTAGGTGGATCATCAGCAGGCTAACATTAAATGATGAAAAGTGAACTTATAGGAAGGAGGATCCAACCATACAGATGGGGCAAAGAGAATACCAAAGACCAGCATCCACCAGACTTACCTACAGAGTGATATGCATAACTGAAATCCGACACGAGTGGATGTCAAGACCAGATTCCACAATATTTTACACCATAACTGCAATTCCTATTTTAATAATCACATGCTGATGCATCACGCACTGCTAAGAATAGACGCATAAGAAAAAACCCAAATCGCGGAAAACAACAGTACCCGAAGCCACAATTCTTAATGTTCTTCCTTTCAATTACTCTGCAATTCCAATGTCTATTGGCATACAAAGTAACCACGGTAAAGCATGACAAAACATTGGTTTGCAAACAGATCATGTAAGTAACAAGATATAGCTGAAAAGTGAAAAAGAAAAGTTGAATAAGAAGTGAAGCAAAACTGAGGAGACATAACGTAGAAGATTAGCTGAACTAACTAGATACATTTTCCATACATTTTAAATAAAGGCGTGTTCAATGGATACAAAAAATGATTCACAAAATATAACATACCAAAACGAGGCAGCTGCCGAATTACACAATTGTTGACTTAGGCTCGCAGAAACCCTCAATCCCTCATTAGGATTAAGTGGGTAAATATAAAATGAATCCTAGGTCAGAAAGATTGCTACAATACTCTACACCATCACCATCACTCTGTCGAATCTGATTCCTCATTTGCCTCACTCCCTGAATTCCAATTTAAAGAACAAAAAGTATTAACTACAAAGAAAAATCCACATTCTTGTTCCATAAATCTCCTCTATCAAACATCCAGAAAAACTGAAACAGCACAATTTGCAGGTCACAAGGAGAAATTATAGCTAACTTAACGTCAATTATAGTTGCACGGAACAATTTAGTCATACTTCTAACCATTATAACACAATCAAGAACAAGTTAATACTTTTTTATTACTCAATGCTAAGATCAGTGATCATACACCCATATCATAATTTCAGTATTCACTAGAGCACAGGGCCTGTAACATTACTGTGTTTTAATTATATGTAACATTGTTTTATTTATACTACAAGATTTTCCTGCTACTAACTATATATATTATATCTACTACAGTAAAATTACTAAACATTAGAATTAAGCATAAATTATCCAACAAACAATACAAAACTAACCTTCATTCTCTTCTCCTTCGTCTTCGTCTTCCCCTTCATACTCGACCCCTTATCTTCCGTTCAAGAAATCAACAGCTGACGGCGTCAACACCAGCGTCTCGGCATCCAAAATATCAAACAAATTCAACGTCCTCGGAGTCAACATCTTCAATGTCCCGATATTCCTGCTCGATTTCTCCACATTTTCACTAACCTCCATCATCAAAAACGTCGACTTTACTTTTGGATCCAACCCCCACCTCTTCATCGCCTCTATAAACTCCTTCGTCTTCGGCCGCTCAAACTTCCCATTAAACTCCTCCACCACAATCGTGTTCTCCGCCGCGCTCGCTAACGCCGTCGATATCGCCAACCGTTTCTCCTTCCTATTAATCTTAATCGACCAGTCCCTCGGCTTCGGCCCAAATATCACGCCTCCACCCGGCCGAAGCGGGGACCGCATAGACCCGCGACGTGCCCGGCCCGTTTTCTTTTGCGGGTAGGGTTTCCTACCTCCACCACGGACTTCAGCGCGCGTGAGAGTAGACGCGGTGCCGCGTCGCTTGTTTTGCATGTCGGTTATTAAACCGCGGTGAACCACGGCACGCGCGGTGTCGGGTGGGGCCGACTTCAGGTCGAGAAATGTCTCGCCGATTTTTTCGCCGGTGAAGGATAACACCGGGAGCGTGGCGAGCTGAGAGGAGATAATTAGAGTTTTGGGAACGGAATTTTTGAGGGAGAGTTTTGGCCGGGTGAGGGAAATTGACGTTTTGGGGGTTCTATTGTGAGATGAAGAGAGGAAGATTGAAGAGGAGAAGAATGAGAGAGAAGTTGAGGAAGCCATTGTTGATTGAATTTGTTTTAGTGAGAGTGAGCTTAAAGCCTTAAAGTGCAAGTTTCGTTATCCGGATTGGGGTTGCTCTGAGGAAGAATATGGACTTGGAAACGTTGTCGTTTTAGTTGCTAACAAAATGTTAGGAATTTATTTTATTTAATAATATTTTACTTTATAGGACTTGAATACAATTTTTTTTAATAATTGATCCAAATAACTAGTTTTGCGGTTCGACTACAAAACTAATGGTTTATGAGACTATCATTTCATACTTGCTAAGCTCCCAAACCAACAATAAATATGACTAAAGCTATTACTTTGGCACCCCAAAACCAAAAAAATAAACCAAATCAAATCAAATAGTTTGATTCAATAATTAAAATACTATAATATCAAACCAAATTGTACACATTAAAAATATTTGATTCCATGTAAACATGGAAAAAATGGAACAAAATTGGACCAAAAACACTATTTTGTACAACACAATGCTGGAAATTGATGAATAGTGTAAAGTCGAAGTAGTAATTCTTTCTAACTAAATAAACAAGTTTGGAATGAAAAATTAAAAAGAAAATTGTAATGATAAAAAAAATAGGAATTTTAAATCTGGTTAAATAATATTATTGAATTGGAATCGATAATCATAATAATGCGTTTGTTTTATTATTTTGAGTAGTATTTTGAAATATTATTATTAAGTTGAGTTGAGTTATTATTACGAGATAAGATTTAAAAATTACCAAAAAACTACTAGATTTGTTAATTTAGTTAAACACCCATAATAATAAAAAAATTATAAATTGACAAAAATACCCCTACCAACCCACAGTTTCCAGATTTCAACCACCACCATCGGAATCTGATTGGAATTTGGTGTCATTGCGCATGACCAGCCAGATCTGGTCGATCGTGCACTGCTAAGCCATTTTTCGGTTAGATCCACCACATATCTGACCAGAAAATGTCAGATCTACGACCGTCAACGACGACCATATATTAGCTATCATTGACGGCTAGATGTGGTCGTCAATGGCCATATTTTTTGCCATGGATTTGGCCTTTTTTTTGCTAGATCCATGATTGATCTAACCGGAAAAAGCCATAGCAGCCCACGACTGGCCAGATCTGACCAGTCGTGTGCAATGACACTAGATTTCAGTGGTGATGGCCGAAATCTAGTAATTGTAGGTGGGTGGGGGGTGTTTTTATTAATTTATAAAACTTTTTTGTTGTGGGTGTTTAGTTAAATTAATAAACTTATGGGGGTTTAAAATCATTTAATATTATTAGATTGGATTTTGATAATAGGAAACAAATATCATTTTTTTAAGGATATGAATAGGATATTTTCAAAATAAGAAAACAAACGGAGCTGGCTAAAAAGACAGTTCTTGGAAACTAACAAACAAGGGAAAAAGGTTTTAATATGGCCTAAAAAGAGACAAATTGCATTGGTCACTGTTATAGTTCACAAAATTTTGAGAGAAAATTTAGCTGTACGGCCATCCCAAGTTTTGATTTAAGAAAGTGGTCTTGAAACTGTTTTTCATTTTTTTTTTTAATTTAGAGAAGATGACGTGGCATAGTTAGGAATAATTAAACACGTAAAATGGGTTAAAATGAAAAGATTAAAACATATGTGGGCCAAATAGAAATAATGAAAGTTTTTAAAATTTGGAATTTCTCAAAACAAGCCCCACTATTCACCTCGCTTAATCGAAATTCATTAGGGCAAAAAGCGATTTCTTGAACCAAAGGGAGAGGCGATTTTTTCGATCGAACCTGCACAAATTTGCACCCTAAAATCAATTTCTTGAACCCTAAACCGAATACAGTTGCGATTTCCGGCGATATAGTCGCGATTTTCGATTGATTTGTTGAACCCTAAAATCGATTTCCTTAACCCTAAACGGAATCTGTGCAATTTCCGGCGATACAGTCCACATTTCTGATCGAAACTGCAAACTTTAACACCAAATTCAAGCCAAAACCATGGTTGACACTCACAATGACGAGAAAAACCCAACGCCACTTCAAATCCTAGATTCCGGTGGCGCAAGCAGTTCAATGGCTGCTCTAGTGGATCATCCGATCAGTGAAGGTGATCCACACGCAGAGGAGACGCTGACGGCACAAGATCAGAGGGAAGAACCAGCAAACGGTTCTGAAGACGAGGAGTTAGGCGAGAATTTAGGCCAGGAGGAGTCGTTCGAGGATTCAGGAGACGAGGAGGAGGCCGGCGAAGAAAGGGTACGTTGTTTGGGAATATTACTTGTACTGTCGCTTAAGCAATCATTTGTATCACTTAAGCGATTAATCTGTTTTACTCATGATCGCACTTATGATTGCTTAAGCGATTGATTCAGTTTACTCTTGGTCGCTTAAGCGATTTCAGATCACTTAAGCGATCTTGTCGAGACAGAATCATAGATAAAATAAGCGATCTTTTGTATCGCTTAAGAGATTCTCAGTTTACTCTTGGTCGCTTAAGCGATTTCAGATCGCTTAAGCGATCTTGCACGAGGCAGAGTCAAGATCTCTTAAGCGATCCGAAATCACTTAAGCGACTACAGTGGTAATTTTTTGTTGCTGATATTTTGTTTATTAGTTGTTTTGGTTTATTTTTGTTGCTGACATTTTGTTTATATCGATTGTGCAGATTGTGCGGACTGTAAACTATAGAGACTACGAGTTGAAGCCTATAAGTGAGAAGGTACCCTACTTCCCTGCAAGGGTGACGTTGAGGTCGAGTTGGGATGTTTTTGACAGAATAAAGGCCATTTTAGCTGGAATGAGGGGTGGTGAAAGAGATTTTAGTCGCACTTGTTTCGGTCAGTTTTTAAGAATTGGAACAAATTGGAAAAAAGGCATTTTGGGGGGCAGGGAGTGCATTACATGTTGATGCACTCAGTAAAATGTAACAAAAAAAATGAAATGTAGTTCGGGGTGAACGGAAAGTCACTACGGTTTGGGATGATGGAGTATGCCTTGGTGAAGGGCTTAGGATGCGGGGAAGTGCCAAATAAGGCGGAGGCAAACACAATAAGGAGGAGTTCGGGAGCCAAAAGATTTCGTACGAAGGTTTTGTAGGGGGCAAAGTCTATTATAGGACAGGTTTTAGAGGAAAGGCTAGAAACAGTTCGGTTTAATGATGGAGAGAAGATAAAAATGTGCTTGCTATTATTTTTACATTCTATCTTATTGGCTAGTGACTCAACAAAAGCTGTTGAGAAAGATTGGTTGTTGTTTGCAAGCGACTTGTTTTTCTTTAATTCTTATCCGTGGGGATGGATATCATTTGAGCGAACCATCAAGAGCCTGAAAAAACCAGACATGGCATTAAAGCATACCGAATGGGGCGGGAAGGCTAAACCAAGCACGTATAATTTGTTTGGCTTCCCATGGGCAATGCAGGTAAATATTAATAGCTCTCTGTTATATTTTTTATAATATATGTGTTTGAATTATGATATGAACTGTTTTTCTACAATGTAGGCTTGGATGTACGAGGTCATCCATGTCTTCGCTAAGGCGGGGGGGAGGAGCAACAGTTTGGATGTGCAACAGCAATTTCCTAGAATGTTGCGGTGGCATGTCCAGAAGTGTAACCATTCGGATTACGACCAAATAGAGATTGAGATTCAAGCAGCTGGGGTAAGATTAAAGGATTAAGCTTTTGAATATGCAGTTGCTTTTTGATTTTGCTTCAATCTGATTGATTTTTTTTCTTATTGCAGGGAGTCGTCCGTCCCTTTCTCACCGCTATTAGGGATGAAGCAGAAGAGGACTATGTCACATCTTTCAAAGCAATGGAAGATGAAAGGGATGAACGGATAGACTGCCTGATACAGGACCTAAAAGGGATCGCGCACATGATGGCAGTTGCAGGGCCATTGCTTGACAACGTCGTTGATGCCGAGGATTATGAAGCTCCAATGGGCGGGAGGCCTGAGGATGAGGAGGAGAAGAGGGAGGAAGAGGTTTGTATGCCTCAGCAAATCAGTACAATAAGTACCGCTTTGCCGAGACATCGACGTTGGGAGAATGAGGTTGTTGACCTCATAAACGACATGTTTGAGAGTTTTACAACAGCCGTTTATGCAAGGTTTGACAAGATGGAAGAGTGCATGAAAATGGTGGAGGAGAAAATAGATAAGTTGGGAAAGAAAGTTGGTACAGTGGAGGAGGAAGTTGGTGGAGAATTAAAGGTAGTTAAAGTGTAAACTGGCTTGAAAAGAGAGAGTTGAAAGAGCAAGTTTGTGAAATCGCCATACATGGTAGTGACATAGGTAAAGAAGAAGAAAATTAAGAAACAAATGGAGGAAGAACCAGAAATGGAGGAGGTTGAGGAGGTTGGTGGAGGAAGTGGGGCGGTGATAATGGAGGAGGGCGAGGTGGAAGGCGAAGGAAGAGGGGATGTAAAAATGGAGGAAGGGGGAGGAAGTGGGCAAGGGAAATTGGACTCAAATGTCAATTTGTATAGGCCAATAGAGAAAAAGAAAAAACTCTTTTATGCCTATTACAATGGATCAGGAAGTAATGGCCATATAAAGTGTAAAACAGGGGATTATCCCCGGGAATGGTTTGAGAAGTTGTTGATGATGGACACGTGGCTTGAGGACTCGGTGAGTTATTTTCGCTTAATTTTCCTTATTTTTGCCTATATTTTCCATACTTATCTTGTTTTTATTTGATGCAGCATATCGATGAGATATTGGCACTGATAAGGCTACGACAGACTACTGATGGTGATCTGCTATATCCCGACTACGCCATCACCGATGTGGCTTTGGCCAAACACTTGTTTCGATATATTGCACTTTAATTAAAAATGTCGTTGCTAGTGGTGCAGCAAATGACCGAAGCGAAAAAGATTGGCCCCAGTACAATTGGACTGCATCCCTGATGATTTTCATTTTGATGACAGAATTATGTAGTATATACTGGCGGATCGGCCCAAATATGGCCACGGTTGGGCCTTTGTTAAAAGAGTGTACTACATCATCCTCGTCAAAGAGATGCACTGGATAGCAGTCGTTGCGCATCTAGAGGAGGGATTGCTGAAGAT